GATTCTTTCGATTGATTGGCAAATTAATTTTGTGGAATTGGATATGAATTGGAGAGGGGAGAAACGTTTCTCCGAACGAAGATCTATGTTTTATTAGTTTATGTGGAGCATATGCCGCAAGTGTTTCTCTTTTTATATAATGAAATTAAATATAAATATATGTAATAAGATATCGTGATCCTTTCTTTTCGCATGATAAGTTGCAATACCATCAAATCGAAGGTAATTAATTTTCAAAATTTTAAACTTATTAATTAATAGTATAAAATTCTCAAAAAGAAATATTCATTGAAAAACAACCTGAAAATTTCTCTAATTCAATTTCCTTTTATGAGTCGAATTAGCATTTTAAATTAAAACGTGCTATAAAATATATATAAAGAGAGTTTCTTTTAATTAATGATACGCGATTGAAATTCCATTCTAAACAATTCGAATTGACAGGACAGCATTCTGTCACTGTGGAGCGAATTGTTTCATAGAAAAATACCTTTGAAATTCAATTTCAAACACGAGTATCTGATTGACACTTCGTGTAACTAGATACGTATAAAATACTTTAGTTACAAACTGTTCCCATATATAATGTAATGGCGTAAACTCTTAAGAGCTCTTGCTCGTCGCATTGTATCGAATGCAGGAAATCGGTTACAATAGCGAAGGCAATTGAGCCGGTGAAGTATCAGTCAAATGCACGTGTTGTTCGATTGAATTTCAAAGTTATTTTTCTGGACGAAACGAAACTTCATACGACAAAAAATTCCTATTCCTTCCTATCATTTTCATTTGTTTCGCGCCATAGAATCGCTCGTACTCCACTTGCATCGTATTTTTCGGCTTGTTGTTGTCGATTAATTTGCCGCGATAAAAAAAGAAATTGGAAAAAGATTTTCTAATCTCTGATTGGGAACGAGATGTAAATAAGAGAATAAGTATAAAATGCAGAAAATCGTAGTATGCATGTCAGCATACTTGTTTTGATAATTAATTAGAAAATTCATAATTGAAGTATTCGTCAATATGAATATTAATATGAATAGTTAATTTCAATATTATTCTTCTTGTTATATATTTCATTTTTTTCATTCCATTCTATAAAGATAAGATTAATTTTTAGAATAGTTATTATATATATTTTCAAAATAGTTATTATAATTCTGCAATAAAAATTACAAAATAATTATTTCTTTAGGATAGAATTTTTTAACAAATTCTGATCTTAGACACAAAAATTATATATTTTCAATCATTAAATTAAAATTATTATAACTTTATTAATTATTATTTAATTTGTATGTAAATTCAATATCTTAAATATTTTAGATTCATTAATTTTTAATGATCAAGAGTAATTTTCTAATAGTAAAAGATAATAATTAAAAAAATTGAAATTATAAGGAAAAACTTTAAGGGAATCAAAAGTAACAAAGTTGTGTGGAAGTTTTACTCACCGTAGAATTATTTATAACTTCTTGAAAAATTAATGATAGGAAAAAAAAATTATTTAACCGATTTCCTGTACGTGTCATAATACACATCTCTGAAGTAGTAACAATATGTTGTTGGAAGCAATGAAATACGGTGTAGTTAATGGCAATCGATAAGTTTTATGGACTTGGCTATATGAAAGGAGCGTAAAAAGATAAATGAAGCAACATTTATTACGTGCTTTGGCATTCGAGAAAATTTATCAATGATTAATGTTGAATTGGTGGTCAGTTTTTGTTCCGCAGATTTATTTAGATGGAAGATTTCTTTTGAAATATGGGTATAAAGATAACCAACACTTTAAATAACACCAAAGAATCAAAACATCTCAGTGTTTTTCATTTAAATTCTAATTCTCAGTGTAGATTATAGATTTTCATCTAAATTTACTTTTTTATTTAAAAAAAATAATAATAATTTTGCAAATTTTCATGAAATATAATAAATATCTTACGATGTTTAGAGTCAATAAAATCTAAGAATTATGATTTACAATAAAAGTGCAAAATGATTTGATCATTATTTTCAATTGTTCTTATTATTATTACATTAAATAAAGGCTACATTATAAACTCGATCAATAATAATATTAAACTAATTTATACAAAATTCAAAAATCTATTTATCGTTTAAACTCTCGAGTTAAGAAATAAATTAATTTATTACTGATTTAATTAATTCGACTGAAATGAATGTTAACTTATTTGCCTTTTTATTGATTTGCCTTTGAACATTTTATATATCTATATATACTACATCATATATTATACGACAAACTTTCCTACATTTCACCATCTCCATACGCATAATGTTTCATTGTGCTGATTTTCACACGGGGGAGGAAAGTTGCTCATAGCATGGCAAAACAAACGAGGATCTCCGAGCTTCGAAGCTCTGCAATTCAGCGGAAAGTTTCAAGGACAATCTTCCTCTTCCTCCTCTTCCTTCCTTTCTCCTTCTCCTTCCTTCTTCCTTTGACTCGTCCTCCGCCTATACCCATTCGTCTGTCCTCCCACGAACCGAATCTCGACATGAAATAAGAAGAGAGTAAATACTCGAAATCGTCTCTCTGAGTACATGGGCGTTTGGCACGAAACCAAATTTCAACGGCAGAAGTTATATCATCGTTGGATAGCAGCGATGGTATATATATATATACTGTGTGTGCCCCCTTTGAAATCATTCTGCTGGCTTATTTCGACGTCGATGACGATAACGACATTATAACGCGAAGGCAGCTAAAAGTGGAATGTGCAGATATTTTCCTCTCCTTCAATTAAGGCTTCCCTCCTCGAGTTAAGGATAATAATTTAGCTCGTATTTGTCGAGGCGGAATAATTTTGTTGTGTCTTTTAATTCCCCTTTAAAAGAGGCAAAATTATCAAATATTGTTATGGATTTCGAATTTTTCTGTTTGAATCGAGATGTTGTTTCTACGAAGAGAGGAATTATAAGGTGAAATTAACGGATATTATGTTTAATTTATATTTAAGGAATTTTTTAGGTATGGAGAAGTACGGTTGGATTAAAAGTAATTCAATTTGTTATTTTATTGATATGAGATAATTCTTTTAGATTAGCTTGGTTTATCGATAGGGAGAAATCTGTTGAATTTAAATCAAACATTGAAATTAAATTAGATATTAATTTATTAATTATAAAAATATATAATCCTCCGTAATATTCTGTGAAGAAATTGTAAAATAAGAAAAGGACTCGTTCAATCAAGTTCAGTTGCAGTGAAAGAGGTCGATGCATAATCAGACATTAATCGTTGCTTTAATTATGAGTTATAATCATCTCATAATCGATTAACATAATATAATCGAATTAATTATATTTTCGATTTAGATTCGATCAATTAGAATTATAAGATATTAGAATAATTAAAATCAATAATACGAATAATCGATAATTAAACAGAAAAATTAAAAACAGTTCATTTAACTTGTAACATGGAAAGATCAAATTTGTAAAGAGAATGCTCGTAAAATGCAAATTTAATTTCATCAATCTTTTCATTTTCTTAAAAAAACTTTGTAATCGAGAAAAATATTCAAATATTCAAGTGAGAAATCTTGTGTAAATAATTGATGCACGAATGTATCGTTGGTAATATTGCGGTTTACAATATGCAATAGGCAAGAGTTTGTACATACTGAGATGGTCGTTCGCAACAGTTTGGTAATTATCGCAAATTAATTTGACTGTACGGTGCTTATTCATCTGTCATTCCAGTGTGAAATGCGGATACGATGTTATAACGACCTGTTTCCCTCGTATATCATTGATCATTGATCATTTGGCTATTGAACTTTGCCAATATAGGTACGATAGATACGTTTTCCATCATTGTGACAATCCTTTTATTTATTAACGTTGCTAGTTATCAAAGGAATTAGTTTTATATTAAACAACGGTGGTCATTTTTTTTATCGAATTTTTATCTTTCTTTTATTGCGTTTTAAAATTGTTAAAAGGTTAATTACAATTTTTTATTGAGAAAAGTACAAAAAGAGATTTTTCATTTGAAAATAATTTATTTAACTTTATATATATATATATAACTTTATATTCTGTGTGCGTGTATTTATATTTTACTTAATTTATGAAAGATTTTATTAACTGAAAAAAAAATAATATATCGCTTTATATATCTCATTTTTATATTACCATATGTACGTGATTACTTTATTTATAACTTGTTGTATATTATGGTTGATCCATGACCAAGCTGAAAATAAAAAAATTTAAACGATCATTGATTCTGGAAATAATAATAAATTGTGGTGAATTTTGTTAGTTATCGAAATGATTTAATAAAATTACGTTATAATATCTTTTATTTTAATAAAATAATAATTTTCAATAGTTCAACGGATAAAAATAGGAATTACATTTCATTAATGAAATTTCTATTTAATATCTCACTTTTTTCAGTTTATAACAAGGATAATTAACATTATAATTTCGTTTCGAATATTATATATATATAACAAGTGTTAGATTTAGCTATTATTATTAATTAGATTTCTCAATTCCAAAGTCAATTATTTCTTAATCAATACACATTCTTTATTATCTTGGTATTTATTATAAAAGCTATAATTAATTATTCAGATGTCTTTTAACTTTATTCTAAAGAAGTTAATATCTTATGTATACATACTCTCAGATATAGAAGATAATAAAAAAAGGATTCCTTGAATAGAATTTAAAAAAAAAAAGAAAAAACAAAATTGAAAATCAATATATGGAAGATGGACATGCAGAAAATCAAAATAAAAAATCATTTATAATTTTGAAAATATGGATTCTTCCATTCCATATAATCGAATCTTAAAAAATTATGAATCCTTTTTTCCCCTTATGATATCTGTATGTTTAAAAAAAAGTTAATATGAGAGATCTAATTAATTAATTTTAATATTTACTTTTGATCTTATATATCTAGAATTAATACTTAGAATTAAAATTCTTAAACTGAACAGTTGTGCAACAGTCTTTGGTCATTAGGAAATGCTATTATACTTTATTGCGTCTCGTATGTTTAATGCAATTTATATAAATAGTATCACATAGCAATTTGACCGGTATATTAATTAATTACAATGTGCTCTAGTGCGGTCTAGGAACTCGGACAGCAAATTGTGTTACAGTTAGTTGCAGAATATAATGCAATTTTAATTTTGATTATCGACGAGCACAAGATACACTAGACGTTGTAATTTAGTTTATCCCCTTAACGATGATCGAATAATGGCTACGCATACTTAATTATTAAATGTTAATTCAACTGAAAATCGAAACTTGGTAGACTCAATTCGCGTCTCAATTAAAATTTTCGACAATTTGAATGTTGAGTTTAAATTTAATTTCTTATTAAGAATGCTTATTAATTGTAAATTTTTACAATTTTTAAATTCAACTTATCTATTTACGTATTATTAAAAATTATCTATTACGTATTTAAAATTCTTGCAAATCTTTGCAAATCTTTTTACAATTTTAAAAAATAGCATTGAGCTTAAATTGTGAATCTTATATTTTCAAAGAGAATTCCAAGAAAATCTACGATGTGAATCTTTACATATATGCACGTGGAATGATTTAATTTGGTTTAAATTATAAATTGTGTGCTATTATTTCTAATAATAATAAATCTATACTATTTCATTTCGTTCGTGGTGAGATAAAAATACAGGATGTCAAAAAATAAGAGTATCAAAAATTTAAGAACTCATAGTACTCGTTGAAAGTAATAAAAAAAAAAAAATCAATTGATTTCAAAACTTAAACTACTTTTTATCTCCCACGAGTACTAAAAGCTCTTGAAATTTTCTTTAAATACTTTGCATATAATCTTGTAAAATCACAACGTAAATGCATTCTCACATCTACGATATTCACTGGGAGATCATTAACAACTCCTTACGTAACACACATGAATTGGAATGTGCCAAACTGGAAGGACGGAATCCTCCTCGAATCATCGTTTCAAAATATAATAAACGCTTATCAACTTCACGTACAATTAAATTATTCAATTACACCATAAACATAATCACTTCAAATATCTCTGGATCGTTTAACTTTCCAAATTTTATTGCTTTCTCTTCTTCACAAGCCATTCAATTCTCGTTCGTCTCTTCTCAATGTCCATTTCCTTCATTCACTGTCAGAGATGTAGACACTTTGCAAACTGTCCTTGTGCGCATCTCCATTGCTCGAAGAAGACACTTTGCTATATCTGTACGAATTTCTATTTCTCAGATACCACTTGACACCCACGTACACGATTATCACGACGAAAAGAAGGACGTTGATCGAGAACAAAATGGTCATCCCGTAGAACCAGAGGGTGGACTGCATGGTCCACGAGAGGTCGCGTAGGATGCACACGGACTCGTCGAGGCTCGATGAAAACTCGGCATCCTCGTGGCAACTGGTGCACTCGGTATTCGAAGGCCCTGAACAAGTTAGGCAGGTGTAATGGCAGCTGGAGCACACTGCCTTCGACTCGTCAGAAACGCCGTAAGTTCCTCTAGGACATTTGTACACGCAGGTTCCGTCGTGGTAGTACCAATTCAGCTTACACTCTGAAAAATTACACACGTTTGGTCTTTGACGGCCTTTCCTTCCATTTTCTGTTTGTATATTAATCGCATCTCGGTGTGTGTATATTCTGTTCCTTCTCTTTTGTGCGTGTTCTGTGGATGTGGTGGATTAGCCTCCAAGACATACGGATGACAATGATTGATTCGTCGGATTTCAGTTTTTTTTCGAAAATATAGCCATTTTTTTTCTATTTTTAAATTCGTATTGATATTTCAATCACATCGATTTCAATTTATCTTGCATGTTATTAGAAATATGGAGTGAAGAATTGAAATTCCAGATATAAAGATAATGGAAAAATTTTAGATGAAGCTTATTCTGCCCTAATAAAATAAAATTATGAAGTTTTATTTTATTTTTTTTTGTAGCATTCTTATTAAAACAAATATATATATATATTAGAATACAAAATTTATGTGAATTGTTATTTCATTTAAAAAATAAGAGACGTGTGAAATTTAAAATTTCAAAACAATCTGTTTTGAAAAACAAAGGCAATGTTAGGATGGGATATTTTAACAAGCAGTATTTTTTAACTTAATTAAAAACTGCCTCTATGCAACTACTCAATATCGAAAAATGAAGGTGCATATTGGCAGGTTGCTTGCACACAATTTCGTTTCTAACGAAATTAAATTACTGATAACTCGATGAATATCAAGCTTCATCTGAAATTTATCCACGTCATCTTTTTTTATTGTTTTTATATCTAGAATCGATCCTTCAAAGATGCCTTGCATTCTCCTTATTTTTTTCGAATCGAATTTTATGAATTAAAATTAAAAGAAAACTTTAAATCAATTGAGCGAACTGAATAAACTTTTCTAATTTAATATTCGTATTTAAACTCCCGTTAATAACTATTCATAATGTAATGGAAGGAATCATTGAAATTCAGTTGTGTGAATTATTTGTCCCTTGACAAAGGTTTAGAGTAAAGTTCTACCGTGTAATATAAATCGCTTAACTTGTTAAATCATGAATAGTAGGTTTCTTGGTCGGCAGGTATTTAAAGTTTTCAGATAATCTCGCGAAGCAATTTGAATTTTCAAGTAATACTTATCAAGAGAGAGCGAGTTCTCGGATGAGAGATACGTTTAAACCGTCTTGACGAAGCCAATTTTGATAATAATTTTGTTGGTAAATCTACGAGGAATAATCCGTGCGAAACGGAGGAGTTGCTGCGTTACATTTAATAGTGGAGATCAGAAGCACATCTTGTGGCATAATTTGTACAATATCACGCTTTTGACATTCAATTAATTTAAATATAAATTTCCTTCATCAATACTGTCATCCATACGTTGCTCGTGGACATTTTCATTCGTTCGTTATGCATTGTTTCGTGTTGTTTCGTGTTGAGACATTGTACACAGCTTACAATAACGAGAAATATATATTTATACGGATAACATAAATTTTTCTTATGACAAAATATATCTGCAGCAAGCGATTCTATGCTATAATGATAATTTAATATTTATACATTTATTAGGCCTAGGTGAATTATATCATTTTTATACTTTGGTAAATTATGGAACAGATATTCGAAGAATATCCCGATTTTATATTCGCCTAGCCCTAATGCAAAATTTATTTCGAAATTACATGTTATCTCTATTTGTGTTATCTTGTAAAAAACGAAGCAAAGAAGTTATAAATAATTAATTTTACTGGATGTTGTACTAATGAATATTTATAAAATAATTTAAGGTGCATGCTGAAGCATATATTTACTACGCGATTAATTAGCATTGAACGTACTGTTTAAACAACAATTGATACATACATAAGTATTATTTCTTTTCTTTTCTTTTTTTTTTGGATATTTAAAAAATTCAAAAACTTTATTTTTCAAAGATCGAAATCGAAAGAAAGATTGGAAATTTTTATATCTTTAAAAAGAAAAATATATACCGCTTTCAAAGATGTATCTAGATATATTTCCGCAAAAAATGCAAGCAAATTTTCAATAATAAAAAATCTTCAAAGTCTTTCTCAAAGCTAAGCACGTATTGATCTCATTGACTCGATTCATTGATAATTCAATAAGCGATAAAGCAACAGAGAAAATATAAATTGCTATGAAAGAAAAAAAAAATCAGTTCAAGCAATGTACAAGTAGCAAGATAACAATAAAAAAGCGAAATTATTAATTGAAACTTCTAATGAAAAACAGAAAGTTCAATGAATCGAAGTAAATTGAATCCAAGGATCGTTTCTGCATATTATGATGCAAAGTATTTCAGTGGATACGAGTAGAGTGTTAAACAAAGATACAAATTTCTTTAACTTCTTTCCAATTCATAAATTTATTATTAATTCTTTTTCTAAATCATTCATTTTCAAGTTAAAAGCTTTGCAAATATCATATTTTGTCTAATTTAAATCTTTGAATGAATTACATCATATTTGGTATTATCCTTTTCATAAAATTTTATAAATCTAATTAATAAAAAGATAAAATTCACGAGTAATATATACAAAATCATAGAATTATGGTGACTTTATCTTTTCAAATTAAAAATTTTATCACTTTTCCTTTGAGTTACTCATATATATATATAAAATATAAAGATGGAAATAAAGAAAATTAACAGATTGATTTTCTATCTTCAACGTTCACAAAATAAAAAAATTCTGCACATCATAAAATCATCGACATTATTATTGATTACGCTTAGTTAGAAAATTTTGTTACTAAAACACTCTATTCGTGTTAACATAGCTCGTGGCACAATATACTCGATTCATCAAAGTGCATTACAGACAAACACATATAGATAGAGGATATAAACGGGAGAATTATAGAATGATAGAGAAGTAAGACTCACCGTGCTGGTGAAGCGATCAGGGATAGGTGTTTATTTTTTTTTTATTTTTATTTTTTTTATTTTTTTATTTTTTTTTGTATTGGTTGTACATGTGTGGTTGTGGATGTGGATGTGGTTGGTGGTGGTGGTGGTGGTGGTGGTTGGTGATGGTGGCTGGTCTGAGAAAATCCGCACCGCAACTCGCCCACGGAGAGCCCCAAGTACCTAAATACGTTTTCAGAACCTGCTATGGAGTAGAGGGATAAAGCGACACGTGACACTTTAGGACAAGTAGTTCTTTCTTTCCTTTTTCTTTTTTTTTTTCTTTCTTTCTTTCTTTCTTTTCAGTCTACGTCGAAGTGAATTGAATTTTTGTTTCCTGGATATGTGATCACGATGACTCTTTTCTCTTTTTTTCTCGAGCTGTCTCAGCTCTCTCCTTTTCCTTTCTCTTCTTTTTTTTTTTTTGTCGAGGGAAATTCGATCAATCGCGATTGCAAATTACTATTTGAAATTTCATTTTCGTAAACTACATGCGATCGTACAGTTTGGATTTACCTTCTTTCTTTTTTTCAATATTCAATTGGTGTTGCTGGATCATAAGAGTTTAGATTTTTCTTATTTCAATTAAATATACACGAAGAGACTTTGAACGATTTGTGAGGACGATCAATATTTTTGAAATATTTAAACACTTGTAGGCTGGATTTTAGTTCAAATCAAATTTAATACAATGATATTTATATTTTTAGAATAAAGAATTTATTATTGGCAGACAGGATTCTCGTGAATTTTTTCACTCGGTTAAAGAAAAGTTAGGGAAAATAAATATGTAAAATGAAAAAAGAAAAAAAATAGAGCTGCAAAAAAGATACACAAGAAAGGGAACAAGCAATTGTTGAAAATCGACAAAGCGATGCTAGATTTGGGATAAAATTTCAATGTAAAATATCTTGAGTTCTAAGAAATAAGAATGATAAATAAGAAAATATCGTATTGGCATACAGAATGCACGTATTAATTTCGATCGACATGTAGTTTATCATAGTTGAAGCAATAGTCAATTACTCGTCATCTCGTTGTTAGAAGGAACGTGAAAAGAGAAAATTAATTACAAGGCCGAATTAAAATTGCATCATTTCAACAATTTTCCTTCGTGTCAGTCAGTTACTTATAAATAGACTGTAGATTTTTATGCAAAATCAAATCATCTTTATGAAATCAAAAATACAATGCAAAATCTAATATATTTTGAATACATTGTGTGCATTCCATAGATTTTTGTACATTCAAATTATACAAAAATGTATAAGTATCCACAGTTCATTTATAAACATATTTAATAAAAATTAATATTAGTAGATAACATGCATAAATAAAATAAAAATAAATCTAAAATCTATAAAATCTAAATCTTATTATATTTTAATATTGCATGCAGAAGATTATTGTGTATCAAAATTTGATATGGTGAAGCAATGTTTCTTAGCCTATTTACTATTAATATGATTTACAAATAAGTCAATCAATATAGATTCTTATTAGACGAAAATTGTTATTATTAAATATTTTATTTAGATATATTTTTAAATATTTTTTCTTTTCTTAATAAAAACAATTCGTGTTTATTTGAAAGAAAAAATATTAAAAAAAATATATATCATTAAACATACAAACATACATCAAAATATACTATATCATTGCAAGTAAATAAAAATGTTTATCCGAAAAATTATGATGTGCTGCAAAAATCTATAATTAAAAAGTCCGTCTCCTCAAAAAAAAGTTGGAAAACATCTCGTTAAAGTAACGAAATATCCATTTCGTGCAAGAAAAACAACATGCAGAACCAAACACATCATAAAGCTGTATAAAATAACTTCTTGCAGAAGCGTTGAAGATTCAGTGATGTAATAAATTTAACAAAGCGCAGAGTACATGAACAAATTTGCGATGTGATGTACGTTATCTGGAAAGAAATATTCTAGATACAATCTGATCTGACTATCTATGCGAGAATATACGAACTTTTTTAACAAATTTCACCGGTTGAATTGAAAAACTTGGTTGATATTCATGGGTGTATAATAACGCGTATGCGTAAAATTTTGTTAAACAAAGCTATTGTTTAACTAGCCGAACCGTTAAGTATTTTAATTATTCAAATG